TTATTGTTAAGCCCCGACTCCTTAATTAACCATAACATGTCACGCCGCCAGAAATCCCTGTTTTGATTTGACGTTGCGAAACTTTTACTCATTAAAACTTATATCTGCGACGTCTTTCTTTGTCGTTTGACGAGCTTGCAGGATTTTTTCTTTTGTTTCCTGGCAGTGGACGTGCACGAGCTTGCTATTTCCACAAAATGTCTTCGTTTAAGTCAGGTAATTTAGTTCGGTTGCAGTCGATGAAAGGCATTTAGCGAAATATCGCCACTGTTGTGTTAATACACGTTTAAAGCTTTCCGATTTGTGACTGGAACGCAATTTCCGCTGTTTCGTGTTATAATTGAAACTTGTTCGAAAAACTATTCCCTGTGTGCAGCTTTAAAAACGACGCGTTATTCACCGGATCCGTTTATGTAGGTTTTATTGTTGGAGTTCTGACAGATGCAGTGTTTTGTTTTTATCGAGGGGTAGTAAAATTGAAGATTTAATGAACTTCGGGGGGGTTAAAAATTCGCGAAGTGTAAATTGTAGTGTACACCCCTCAAATACGGCATTTTCCGCCCCATTAACCCTCACCGGTGCATAATCACACTATCACAGCTTCAGCGGCATACGTCAGTCGAACGGAATAAATCGCAAAGAAAATGCACTAAATGAAGCAAGCGAAATTTATTACACAAACAGCAAAATATCACCCTCATCCCTCATCGTAATTAGTTCGATAAGTCATGCACTCGACCATCCAGGAATGCAACGATTATTGGGAATTCACAACAGTTATTTATTAGATTGAAGCAATAAATACTTAAGGGATGATTTATGAGGGAAACAACAACGTTTCCAAAAATAAGAGGGCAAGTCAACGCGAAGCGCTTTTGTAATTTTGACATTAATCACAACATGACGAGAAGGGTTGATTCGCATTTTCGCAATTTAATTATGGAAAAGGTTAAATGAGATATAGGGCCTTATCGACCTGTTTACTGCGGCCTACCAATTTATTACTGTAACAAGTAGGGCTTTTAGGGCGCCCATGTATGGGGATTCATCTTCTGGAATCGGATGCGTGAGGGGCGATATTTTTAAGTTTTCGCTAAACGCGGATCTGTTGGAATTTGCAGCTCGGTGGAGGTTATTCCGACAGAACGCAAAAAATACCCTCTCAGCAATAATAACAAGCTTTAACTTCAAGTGTTTATTTATACATCGGAAGAATGTCACGTGGAAATTTGTTTGATTTGAATAACTGCCAAATTTGGCATCGAACGTGCGACCACCTGTGTTCGTGTAATACTGCACAACGTTTAAATTATTTTAAAATAGAATTCATTGAAATGACTGCATCAAATTGTTGGTTGGATTATCAACCAAATTTTGGGTAGCATTTTACCGTCTATATTTGACAACAATCGGTCCAGTAGTTTCGGAGATTACGTGTTTAATAAAAAACGTTGAGAAAACATAAAAGTGGCCATTCGTCAGATGGACTCGATTACTATTCACTCAGGAAGTAAAAATTGAAAATTCGAATATCGGTAAATTGAAAAGCAAAAAAAAAGAATAAAAACTGAAGAATGGAAAAATTGAATATTCGAAAACTCCAAAAATTTAAAAATCGAGAATTTGAAAAATCCAAGAACTGAAAAACTGAAAAATCGGGAAAGAAATAGATTGAAAATTTTAATATCGAATAGTCGAGAATTCAAAAATTGGAAAACCGAATATTCGAAGTTCTAAAAAACGAAAACCGAAAACCCAAAAAAACAAAAATGTGAAAATCGAGATTTCGAAAAATCCACGAAAATCGGAAGGTCGAAAAATTGAAAAATTGAAAATCTGAAATTTCGTAAATTGAAAATCTGAAATATACAAGAATCGGAGAAAAGAAAACACTAATTGTTGAAAATCGAAAAATCGAATAGTGGAAAAATTGAAAATGAAAATCCGAAATTTCGTAAATTGAAAATTTGAAAAATCGTAAATTCAAAATACGAAAAATCGAAAGTGGAAAAATAGAAAATTCGCTGAAAGAAATATTCGAAAGAGCGGAGAGTCGAAAAATTGAAAAATCGGTAAATTGAAACCCCGAAAAGTAAAAAAGTTGAAAATTCGAATATCGAAAAATCCCAAATCGACATATTTAAAACAACGGAAATCGAAAACCCAAAAATTCAAAAACTTGAAAATTGAAATTTTGAAAAATCGAATAATTCAAGAATCGAAAGGACGGAAAAACGAAATATCGAAAGTTGAAAGTCGAAAAACTGAGAGGTTGAAAAATGTAAAAATTGAAAAATTAAGACAACCAAATTAAAAAAATAAATAAAATTCAAGTGTCAAAAATCGAGAATTCGATAAATGTAAAAATTGAAAATCAGAAATTTCATAAAATAAAAATTTGAAAAATAGAAAATTCGCAAGTCGAAAAATCGAAAATTCGATGAATAAAATACTTAAAAAATCGAAAATTGGAAAAACGAAAATTCAAAAATCGGAAATCGAATCAAAAATCGGAAATCGAAAAATTGAAAAATTCAGTAATTGAAAAGCAGAAAAATTGAAAAAGTGAAAAGTAAAATTCAAAATTCAAATTTCGAAAACTTAACAAATCAAATATCGAAAAAATTGAAAAATGCAAGAATCGAAAGAAAGAAAAACAAATTATCGGAAGTTGAAAAATAAAAAAATCGAAGTCGAAAAATGGAAAAATTAAAAAATCGAGAAAACTAAATTAAAAAAATTCAAAATTCAAATATCAAAAATCGAAAATTCGAAAAATGGAAAAATCTAAAATCCGAAATGTCGTAAATTAAAAATTTGATGAATGAAATACTTGAAAAATCGAAAATTGGGAAAACTAAAATTCAAAAAATCGGAAATCGAAAAATTGAATATTTGAGAAATTGAAAAGTAGAAAAATTGAAAAACCGAAAAGTAAATTTTAAAATTCGAGTTTCGAAAATTGAACAAATCAAACATCGAAAAATCGAAGAGTCGAAGTGGAAATATGGAAAAATTAAAAAATCGGGAAAACGAAGTTAAAAAATGGAAAATTCGAATATCAAAAACTGAAAATTCGAAAAATGAAAATACCTAAAATCAGAAATTTCGTAAACTAAAAATCTGAAAAATAGAACACTCGATGAATGAAATACTTAAAAAATCGAAAATTGGAAAAAAGAAAATTCTAAAAATCGGAAATTGAAAAACCGAAAAGTAAAAAGTTGTAAATTAAAATTTCTAAAAATGTACAAATAGAATATGGAAAAGTCGAAAAACGACACATTTAAAAAAATGAAAATCGAAAACCCGAAAAACCAAAATTTTTGAAAATCGAGATTTGGAAAAATCGAAAAATCCAAGAATTGGAAGAAAGAAAAAACGAATTAACGAAAATTGAAAAATCGGAAAATCGAAGTCGAAGCAAGAAAAAATGAAAAATCGAGAAAACGGAATTAAAAAAGTTCAAAGTTCAAACATCAAAAATTGAAAATTCGAAAAATGGAAAAATAGAAAATTCAAAATATCTAAAAAAAATCGAAAATCGAAAAATCGTAAATTCAAAGAATGAAAACATACTTGAAAAAACGAAAATTTGAACGGAAGTCGAAAAATTTGAAAATTTGAGAAATTGAAAAATCGAAAAGCAAAATTGACGCTTCGAATTTCAAAAAACGAACAAATCGAAAATCGAAAAATCGAAAAACCAAAAAATTGAAAAATCGGGATTTCAAAAATCGAAAATTCAAAAAATCATAATTAAAAACATTTAATTTTGCCTTAGAAATAACTGATCTAATCAATTTTTCTTAAATAAGAAGCAAAGTTTTTTCTTTCTCAAAAAATCGAGGAATTGAAAAACCGAAAAGTAAAAAAGTAGAATTGACAGATATTTAAAAAACGAAAATCGAAAACTTGAAAAAACAAAAATTTGAAAATCAAAAGAATCGAAAGAGGGAAACGAATTATCGAAAGCGAAAAATTCGAAAATTCGAAAAACGAAAAACTGAAAATCGGAAAATCGCAAGTTCCAAAAATCGAAAAATTGACTAATCAAATGTTCGAAAAAGAGAAAATCGAAAATTTCTTCATATAATAAAGCGTTTAGATTTTGCAATTTCGAAGTTAAATTTTAAAATGATACATAATTTTGATTTTTGGCCCAAAAATCTGGACGTCTAGGATTCATGAATCACACATTTATTTTGCAAAATTGTAAAATGACGTAAATATTTTTTAAGGAGGGCATAAACGAAAAAAAAATTTGATTAACGATTTACCATCCTTACGATAACCTTAAATTGAGTGCAGGACTATGTTACTTTATGAAATTGAAAACACATTTACTATCTACAAATTTGAGGAGGTGACGTAATCACACTAATAGTGGGAATGAGTCAACAAAATGTAGTGCATTTGGTTGTTTATTTAAAATCCTTCAAAAGCATTATTCCATCCCAAAGATAAAATTATCGCTAAAAAAACAGAGAACGTTGTGAATATGACAGCTTAAGTTGTTTATGAAATTGTTTACTCACACTTGTTCACAAAGTATAAATAAACAATTATCATGTTGTAGCGTGCTCTACATTTAAAAGCTTTTTGTCGCCTTGTTGAAAAGAAACTTTGTTGTTGAAACAAGTCAAACTTCAGATTTCTTTACGAAAATACGAAAATGTTCCAAAAATGATTGGTTACTTCCGGGTTCCGGGTTTATGGTTACTTAGAATTTCAAGTCACTTGAGTAGTAACTCAAGTGACTTGAAATTCTAATTTAACTAAAAGCACTCAGCATTATCGCCACATAAAAACAAGCCTTCTTATCATTACGCAATAATTATTCCACGAACGGCTTATTCGTTACGTAAATAATTATGTTGTTTAATGTTTGATAAATTCGTTCAAGACTCTAAGTGCTTTACCCTTGCCTTTAAAAATATATTCCAAACATCCATTTTTGTTTAAATTAAAAGCGGTTTCAGACAGTATACATATATATTTTACTGCAGCTTCACTTGTTTCTTTACATAACTTTCTTTGTAAAATTTAGCAAACAAATATAGTACCACCAAAATATACAATACAAGCATCAGTGAATTCCATTTAGGGAAAGAACAGTACGGATTCAGCAGATGTACGACATAATTCACAAGTAGCATACAGTTGCCACCCTAGAATTATTAGTATATTATATGCTCCCAAAATTTTGCAAAACCTACCACTTGTAGTATTGTGATATATTTTTTCCACCACAGCTGTTTTCGCTCCATCCACGTACTCAGCAAATAATAAAGATACATGACTACATGTACACAACAATTTATATAACCACTCAAAACATGTGGACCTCCGGGAGCATAATTCAAACTTATCCAAGACACCAAAACTAATCCCCCGTGGTGAAACACGTGCAGAAACGAAACTTGATTGTTCTTTTTGCGCAAAACGAAAACAATCTGAAAGGAAAATTTGCAACTGTGGTTAAAATAAAACGTACCGTTTCCACTAAATCCACCAGTTTGAGCAACACATATCTGTGCTGCACTGTTAGAAGGGACATAGATTCCACAGAAGTTGGTGAGTCGGAATTGGTACACAGTAAACTGACATTTTTTAAGTTCAACCAAAACTGAAAGAAGTTTCTCGGTTATTGTCACTGCGTAGTTGCAGAACTAACCATCACAGCAAGGTAACCGTTGCTAAAAATCTGAATCAAATTGTAGACAAAAATAACATGGTTGAGTTTCATTGGTTCCCTGTTTTTCATCAAAGTTGGTCCAAGTTTCGTAACGAAAACGAGATAGAGAGCCACGAGACCGAAAGGTTGGAAGAGTGAGTGTGTTAGAAAAAAATCGTCGACGGTTTTGTCTGAAAAGTGGGTATAAGTCGTGAAAAATAAGTATGCTTGAATACCTTTCATTTCGCCGAGAGTTGTCATGGTAAGCGTGGAATTCAAAATGTTTAAACACCATGTGGATGGTATGGGTGTGCTAACCTTTTATATAGAAACGCAGAGGTGATAAGCTAAAACATAAATTTGCCTTGCGTACTATACTCATAAAAAAACACTATAATTTTAAAGAGATAAGTCGCCTTTTACAATACACCTTGTGGATAATGTTTAAGAAGAAAACAAATAAAGAAGGTAAACAACAAACAACACACATTAGTTGGTATTTGTCCCTGTTCTCCACAACGAAAATGAGGAAAAAGTGGGGATGAGACTAGCATCTGCAGCGAAGACTCTATCTCGGTCCCACAACACAAAATGAAAAAAAGAAACTGCAGACATATATTTATTTTATGAGACTTACATTTCTGACTTTACATAGCTCTTCTTGTAAAAAACACCAAATAAATACAGTATCACCAACATATAAACTAAATTAATCACCAAAATCCACTTAGGGAAAGAACAAAACGGATTCAGCAAATGTATAACATAGTTTAAAAGGATGAACGAGTTGCCACCCTAAAACTCTCAAAATAAACAGGGCTAAAACCCGGTCCAACTTACCACTTGAAGCACCGTGATGTATTTTTTCCACCACTGATGTTTCTGATTCGTCCACATACTTTGTAAATAATAACAATACATGATTGCGTGAACAAGACAATTTATACAAGCAGACAGATAATTTGGACCTCCAGGACTATACTTGAGACCTATCCAAGACATTAAAAAAACCCCAATGTGGTGAAACACGTGTAAAAAAGAAACTTGCTTGTCCTTTTTGCGCAAAATAAAAATACCCTAAAAAGAAATTAGGACCGTGCTTAAAATATTGAAAACGTACCGTTTCCAAAAAGTCGAACAATTTGAGCAACACGTATTTGTGGTGTAATGTTACAATGGAAAAAGAGTCTCGGGAGGTAATAGTACACAATATACTAACAGATTTTAAATCTGGGAAACCCTAAAAACATTTTTCGGTTTATTCTTACTACAAAATTACTATACTGACTAAAATAACTATAAAAACGTTGCTGAAAATCTGAAATAAATTATACAAAACCATTACAGGTTTCAGTTGCATTGGTTCCCTGTTTTTCATGAAGTTTGGTCCAATTTTCGTAACGAGAACCAGATAGAGAACTATGAGACCAAAAGGTTCAAAGACTGACTGCGTTAGCAAAAAATCGTCGAACGGTTTGTCTGAGAGGTGTATAATTATTAGTAGAAAATAAGTATTATTAAATACCTTTCATTATATCTGGGCTGGTCATCGCAATTCAAATTGCAAATAATGTTTAACACGATGACGATGTTGTACTAACGTTTTATACTTAAGCGTAGGCGTGTTTGTACCCATAGTGATAAGCAAAAACACAAGTTAGCTCAGAAATTCAATAAGTTTAATCAGAAAGGTCGTGTTTTACAACACACGGTGATATTCAAGAAAAACGTTTTTCGCTTTTCCACAACAAAAATGAGAAAAAGTGTGGATCGAACCAGCATCTGCTGCTGCAACTGTACCTCCCTTCTATGTTTAAAGAGTTAAAATAAAGGACTAACATAATTAAAATTTAATGAAAATAATTCAGAAGGTTAACATAATTTCTTAATATTTTATGACAACTTCGCATTTCCCTCTAGATAATTTTTATTGTAAAAATTACTAAACAAATATAGTAGTACCAACATATACGTTGTATCGCTCAGTAAAATCCACTTAGGATACGAACAGGACGGGTTCAGTAAAGATACGACATTAATCAAAAATATAAACCAGTTGGCAACCTAAAATTCTCAAAATAAATCAATCCAAAACACAGTCCAACTTACCACTTGAAGCACTGTCATATATTTTTTCCACCACAACTGTTTCTTATCAATCGACGTACTTAATAAATAATAAAAATACATTAACGTATGAACAACACAATTTATGACAGCACTCAGATAGTTTGGCCCTCCAGGACTATACTTAAGTCCTATCCAGGTTAGCGAAAATACTCCAACGTGGTGAAATACGTGTAGTAAAGAAACTTGATTGTCCTTTTTTCGTAAAACGAAAATAATCTAAACAGAGAATAGCGACTATGCTTAAAACAAAACGTACCGTTTCCAAAAAATCGAACACTTTGAGCAAAGCATATGCATGGTGTGTTGTTACAACGGAAAAAGAGTCTTGGGAAGTAATGCTACACAGCAGAATAACAGTTTTTAAATTTGGGAGACCCTAAAACAAGTTTTTAAGTTACTTTTATCGGGGAATTCGCACACTTACTAAAATAATCAAAACGACGTTGATGAAAATCTGCAATAAATTATAGGCAATCATAACATTGTTCAGCTTCATCGGTTCCCTATTTTTCATTAAGTTCGGTCCGATTTTCGTGACGAAAATTAGATAGACTGCTACGAAAGCAAAAGGGTGAAAGATCGACTGCGTAATGAAAAAATCTGTAAACCTTTTGTCTGAAAAGTATGAATTCAGCACGTGAGCTTAAATACCTGTCATTTCGTGGAGGTTTGTAGCACAAATATGAGCTCGGAAATTCTAGTGTTTAACCAAAAAAAAGCTGGTTAATTGTGTTCGACCTAAATTTTATGTCGAAAACGATGCATTTTCGCTATTTTGCATAGATAAGGTAAGTTGACTTTTATAGCTTTATATAATGTTAAAACGATAACAAACGTAAAAAGTTGACTTAATGTATGTTATTTATATGTTGTTTACTCATGTTTGATTGTTATTTGCCCCACACTCATTTTTTTTCTCCACAACGAAGAAGAGGATAGGTAAGACGAGCATCTGCAGACACAACTCTATCTGTGTTTTTATTAGTGGAATCGCCGCGAAAACCTTGATCATCAGGAGAATATTTACAGTTTATCCAAGTAATCAAAAAACCGAACACATGTATAAAAGGGACCTGATGAAGATGATCTAAACAGAAACGTTGAATAGGTGATTGCATAGTTAAAAATTTGCTGCTCGCTACAAAATGTATGAAATCGTATTTGACCCAAGCAGCATAAACACTGGTGAATTCTTTCCTACTAAGCTCTGTTGTGTGTCTAGTAATAACAATTGTTTGCCCTTCAAGGTTACAAACAAAACATATTGTTACTACTTACAAGTTTTATCTAATCTTGGAGCTTTTAAAGTGGAAATTTCACGATTAACGTTAAATAAATTATCACTGTAAAGCGAATTTTAGGCTAAAATAGGCCCTAAAATAGTCGATAAAAACGGGTAAAAATGGTAATATCGGCGCTTTAGGCAGAATTTTTAAAAATAGCGCAAAATACTAGATGATAAGAATTTCTAAACACTTTCACACTTTTGAACTTCAGTTTACGAAAACCCAAGACGAACTAATTGATACAGAAAGAGAATTCCAAAAGAAAGTTGTAGGAGGGCAAGGTATATTTAAGACATCAAAGCCCTTCCTAGAAAAACAACAATCCGAAAGAATGTACCATATTTCAGCATCCTGAAGAATTCGAACTACTTCGAGAGAATCCAACAGAATCCGAAAGAATAACCAAAAAGTCCAAAGAATATGACATAAACAGAATAAATTTGAAATCCGAAAGTTTTGGAAATATGGCGAAATAATACGAAAGAATACAAGAAAATCTGGGCAAATTTCGAAAGAATTTGAAAGAATCCTAGTGAACACTAGAGAATCCGGCTAAATTCCAAGAGAATCGAAGATAATCCGGAAGAATACGAAAGAGAATTAGGCAAATATCGAGAAAGTTGGAGAGAATACCGAAAAATTCTAAAGAAATCGTGCATAATGCGGGAGAATGCTAGAGAATCTAAAAACTAAATTACTATATTTCAGCAGCTTAGCGAATTCAAAGATGATTCGAGAGAATCCAACAAAGTCCAAAGAATAAGCAAAGATGCCGGAAGAATACAAGATAATCCGAAAAAAATCGAGATCGGAGAGAGTATCCAAAAGAATACAAGAGAATCCTGTCAAATTCCTACAGAATACGAAAGTATCGGGAAGAATCAATAACAATCCAAGAGAATGTGAGAGAATCCGGAAAAATCTGAAAGAATTCGCGAGATTAAGCAAAAAGTCGAGATCCGAAAATTTCGGAAAGTATACGTGAAGAATCCCAAAAGAATACGAGATAATATGAGAGATTAAAACGAAATTGCCCGAGACGAGGAGAGACCCCGGAAGAATGTGAAAGAATCCATGCAAATACGAGAGAATCCGGCTACATTCTAGGAGAATGGGAGATAATCTGGAAGAATGCGAAAGAGTCCGAGAGAATCCGAGAAACTACCCAGTAAACACAGTTACGTCGTAGCGATGTTAATGCCACTTAACTCTGTCTACGATCTTGTTATCTGTTACATCCCAAACTGCGTACATTTGCTTTATCTGTGCAATGTAATGTAATCAACAGTGACCCATGCTTGTAACATACTGGTGACATCCACATTGTTTCAGACTAGAGACGTGCTCGCTGGTACATCATCATAACGTTGTGTTAGTATGTCGCTAGATTCTCTATATTTTGATGTATTTGTTACGTTTTATTTTAAACGCCAATATAACGTATTAAATGGACATAGACGTTACGTATATATCGCAACATCGTAAACATATGACACTCAGTATATTTTATTAACATGGTCTATGCGATATGAATAGGCATTTCAAAAAGTCTAGTTACCATTTAGGGATATGGATATGGAGAGTAAAATTTAGAGCTTACAGTCAATTTTTATTTTATTCAATGTTTGAAAAAATATAATATGTAATAAGTAATAAAATACCAAAATTAATATTAATTCATAATATAAATAAATAAATATATATATATATGATTTGCTAATTCGAAAATAATCCAATATAATTTACACTTAAAAAAAGACACAGAAACTATAAACCGTCGTTGTTTTTTCTTTCTTCAGGCGTTGACTAGAATGCCGTAGCCACTCTGAGCAGCGTTGTTCTACTTCTTTTTCTATTGGGGAATGGGTCTTCATTGTAATTTCTTCAAAAATAAAAATTGTAATAAATATATTTATTGCAAAAAAATACCTTTCATGATATTCATTGTTTTTGTCCCAGCCGTTTTGGAATTTTCCTACCGAACAAACAAGCTACAGCAAATTCGCTGGAATTTTTTTTTTTTAATACACGCCCCACATTGTTCTTTTTCCCATTACCACCTATCTGGGACAATAGCAGTTCCTGAAATAAGAAAAGAAGAAAATATTTTTATGTGTATATATCGAGTAACTCTGAAATAAGTTCGGAAAATAAAACCACAACATCACGAAGTAGAGAAAATTTTAAGTAATTTCTTTTATCTAGTCCTAATTCAGGGGAAAACATATCAAGATCCACACCTCATTCAGTGCCATTTGTTTTCATCTAAGCAACACACAGCAAAAACAAAGAAAAAATTTAGTCACAATGGAAACTGAATAAATCATTGCCGCATCATTTACATTTAACAAGATGTTCTGTATTTGTTTCTTGAGATTGGAGCAGCAATTTAATTACTTTGAATCCGTGTGACAATTAAAGAATTTTTTTTTCCGAATCTATTTGGAAGTCACCGCGTATGTATAACATACAGGGTGCTTCACTATAAGACTTTTCTGCAACCCACTATGTATGTAACGTGTTAAGCGAAATGTGTCATGTTTAGTAGGTTTCTAAAAAGTGTTATAGTATTACAGGCATCTACCTGTATATAATATCAAAAATTATGTTACACGTAACAGGTGCATATTTTGCATTTTTATCAATTTTTGTGCTACTTTGAAAAAAAAAATGCAATTCGATCGGCATTTTTCTGGAAAGACGAAATTTCATGAATCATATTGCAAATATTGTCCTGAGCTTCAAATAACTGGGAAAGGTTTGGGTTTTATGGTAGTTTGGAGGAACCACTGGGTGTTAAGCCATCCTTCCAGATAAATTCGGGTCCTAATTACTTTTGGAAATACCGTTCATTTCAATATTTTTGTTCGTTACTTAAGTGTATTAATGGTATGTTTTATGGTGGTCGAAGGGACGTTATCCTATTATTTTTCATCGTGAGTTTGCATTTATTTAAAGCGATAGAGATGTGTGTCAATATGTAGATAACTCAAATTAATTTATGAATTAAACCTTTTCCTGAACTTATTCTTCAAGAAGAAACTGTGTTTTGTTGTGCCTGCTCTAATCCGATAAGTATTTTTACATCTGTGGACGCAGTACGCAGTTTTTCTGTTTACAAATACATACTTTAGAATCACCGGAAAAATTTTTGTTAGAATATTTCGAAAAATATTTAAAAATAAATTGTTACCAAAATAGTAATTAAATAGTCGATTACTACTATTTCTTAATTCGTTCTGTTTACCTATATTTATTTTTTAGTATAAGAATATTATCTTAAAAAATGTCATTTATTTGTCAGTGAGATCTAATTAAGCACTTTGCAATGTGGTTTATGTATTTTTTGTAATAAAAAGTAAGGTGTTTTTGCAATTTGTAAATAAATTTAGTTCGGTTATTACGCTTTTTTTATTTTTGGAGCATATGCAACTGCATATCTCTGCATATATTAAGAAAGTTATTGCATATTTGCATAAATTTGATGCATGTCATATGATCATATTTCCCAAAATTTTGCTGCATATTTTCCGCTCTCTAGTTATTATACATACACTCTGTTACCGACATTAAAAAAAGTCTACACTATTTCGTCATATCTGTTGCTTTATTATCAGTTTTCAGTTAGCTACATATTGGATATGAAATTAAGTGAATTTTTTGAATAAATAATAATTTAAAGATCAACCACGAAAATACTCAATTATAATTATACATTATACATTACCAGTTTATTTTAGAGCCCAAGATTACATTGGAAAAGTCTAAACTTTTGAAAATTGATTGCGAAAGTCAATACACAAAACTCGATGATCAATTATTGTTTCGTATTCAAATTATTATTTATTTTCCTTACGATCAAAGTGAAGAAATTATTTAATTCATTTTTATTTAAGAACGATATCGCTGACCTTGAAATAGATTAGTTTTTTAATTTCGATTTTTTTCTTTGTGCTGCTTTTGTTGCCGATCACCATATTTTGCATTAGAATTAATAAAATGATGAAATATATCATTTTATTTATCGAGCTCATTTCAAAATCCTGTATATGTATAATTGTTCCCTTTTGGAAGTGACGCATAGGCAGAGGTTAAAAAATAATGTCTCATTACTAGTCTTAATTGGTATTACCTGTTAGATGGGACATTTGTTAATTCTGATCATAAACTATGTGCATTAAGTCTATTGTTCTGCTTTATAAAGCGCAGGTCGATGTGGACGTATAAAAATAAAATTATAAATAAATATAATTACAGGAAATATAATATGAAAAAAAAAAATATTAAGAGCAACTCACTATTGGCGTCATCTCGCTTGTGCAAGATTTAAGACAGGGAAGAAATTTCTTTTTTTAAGACTCAGCATCTTTTGTTTATGAATATACTATTTACTTGCAACACAAACATAAATAATAAATATAAAATAGAGCTATATAATACTCGATATGTATGTTTTTAAATGTTTTTTGCTGTTGCCCTGTCAGAAACGTTAATTTTCGATTTAACATGTCATTTTGTAAAATGAACTAAAAAACACTTTACATAATTAACTAATAACAATAAAACATTCCGAAGCATGTATATATATATTAATCAGATATCTAGTAACTACAGTTAACATTACTTATTGGTTACATAACCGTAGTACTCCATTGTGATGTTACAAGGCTTACCTGCCAACTATATCGCTGCGACACAATAATGAGATATCTAGTAAATGCAGTTAACATTAGGTGTTAGTTACATAACAGGAGTACCACAGTGTGATGTTTAAATGCTTATGTGCAAGCTATATCGCTGCGACATAATAATGAGATATCTAGTAAATGTAGTTAACATTACGTATTGGTTACATAGCATGAGTACTCCATTGTGATGTTATATAGCTTACGTTCCAGGTATATCGTTAAGACATAATCATGCGATGTCCTTATTGTTCTTTTGTGAGTACGTACCTGTCACGTCAACATCACAACTGTGTTTACTGGGAATCTTTGAAGGACGTCAAAATTGATACAAAAGAAACTGCAGACATATATTTATTTTATGAGAGTTACATTTTTGACTTTACATAGCTCTTTTTGTAAAAAACAGCAAATAAATACAGTATCACCAACATATAAACTAAATTCATCACCAAAATCCACTTAGGGAAAGAACAGAACGGATTCAGCAAATGTATAACAAAATTTAAAAGGATGAACGAGTTGGCAGCCTAAAACTCTCAAAATAAACTGGGCTCAAACGCGGTCCAACTTACCACTTGAAGCACTGTGATATATTTTTTCCACCACTGATGTTTCTGATTCGTCCACATACTTTGTAAATAATAACAATACATGATTGCGTGAACAAGACAATTTACTAAAGCACACAGATAATTTGGACCTCCAGGACTATACTTCAGCCCTATCCAAGACATTATAAAAACTCCAACGTGGTGAAACACGTGTAGAAAAGAAACTTGCTTGTCCTTTTTGCGCAGAATGAAAATACCCTAAAAAGAAAATTATAACCGTGCTTAAAATATTTAAAACGTACCGTTTCCAAAAAGTCGAACAATTTGAGCAGCACGTATTTATGGTGTAATGTTACAACGGAAAAAGAATCTCGGGACGTAATAATACACAATATACTAACAGTTTTTAAATCTGGGAACCCCTAAAAACGTTTTTCGGTTTATTCTTACTAGAAAAGTACTATACTGACCGAAATAACTATAAAAACGTTGCTGAAAATCTGAAATAAATTATACAAAACCATTACAGATTTCAGCTGCATTGATTCCCTGTTTTTTATGAAGTTTGGTCCAATTTTCGTAACTAAAACCAGATAGAGAGCTACGAGACCAAAAGGTTCAAAGACTGACTGCGTTAGCAAAAAATCGTCGAACGGTTTGTCTGAGAGATGTATAATTATTAGTGGAAAATAAGTATTATTAAATACCTTTCATTATGTCTGGGCTGGTCATCGCAATTTGAATTCCAAATGATGTTTAACACAGACACTGACAATGTTGTACTAACGTTTTATACTTAAACGTAGGCGTGTTTGTACCCATACTGATAAGCAAAAACACAAATTAGCTCAGAAATGCAATAGTTTTAATCAGAAAGGTCGGCTTTTACAACATATATTTTAAACGTATTTTCAAGAAAAGCGCTTTTCGCTTTTCCACAAGAAAAATGAGAAAAACTGTGGATCGAACCAACATCTGCTGCTGCAACTGTACCTCCCTTCTTGTCTGTAATATATCGAAAATGTTACAATCTGTTAACTGAATTTATTATTTCAAAGTAAAAATGTATCGTAAAGTTTAAAGGGGTAAAATAAAGGACTAGTATAATTAAAATTTAATGAAAATATTTGAGAAGGTTAACATCGATTTATCACATGTTTTATGACAACTTCGCATTTTCTCTTACATAATTTTTATTGTAAAAATTACTAAACAAATATAGTAGTACCAACATATACGTTGTATCGCTCAGTAAAATCCACTTAGGATACGAACAGGACGGGTTCAGTAAAGATACGACATTAATCAAAAATATAAACCAGTTGGCAACCTAAAATTCTCAAAATAAATCAATCCAAAACACAGTCCAACTTACCACTTGAAGCACTGTCATATATTTTTTCCACCACAACTGTTTCTTATCAATCGACGTACTTAATAAATAATAAAAATACATTAACGTATGAACAACACAATTTATGACAGCACTCAGATAGTTTGGACCTCCAGGACTATACTTAAGTCCTATCCAGGTTATGGAAAATACTCCAATGTGGTGAAACACGTGTGGTAAAGAAACTTGATTATCCTTTTTTCGTAAAACGAAAATAATCTAAACAGGGAATAGCGACTATGCTTAAAACAAAACGTACCGTTTCCAAAAAATCGAACACTGAGCAATGCATATGCATGGTGAGTTGTTACAACGGAAAAAGACTCTTGGGAAGTAATGCTACACAGCAGATTAACAGTTTTTAAATTTGGTAAACCCTAAAACAAGTTTTTAAGTTACTTTTATCGGGGAATTCGCACACTTACTAAAATAATCAAAACGACGTTGATGAAAATCTGGAATAAATTATAGGCAATCATAACATTGTTCAGCTTCATCGGTTCCCTATTTTTCATTAAGTTCGGTCCGATTTTCGTGACGAAAATTAGATAGACTGCTACGAAAGCAAAAGGGTGAAATATCGACTGCGTAATGAAAAAATCTGTAAACCTTTTGTCTGAAAAGTATGAATTCAGCAAATAAGCTTAAATACCTGTCATTTCGTAGATTTTTGTAGCACAAATATGAGCTCTGAAATTCTAGTGTTTAACCAAAAAAAAGCTGGTTAATTGTGTTCGACCTAAATTTTATGTCGAAAACGATGCATTTTCGCTATTTTGCATAGATAAGGTAAGTTGCGTTTTATAGCGTTATATAATGTTAAAACGATAACAAACGTAAAAAGTTGACTTAATGTATGTTATTTATATGTTATTAACTCATGTTTGATTGTTATTTGCCCCACACTCATTTTTTTTCTCCGCAACGAAGAAGAGGAAAGGTAAGGCGAGCATCTGCAGAGACAACTCTATCTCTGTTTTTATCATCAGGACAATATTTACAGTTTATCCAAGTAATCAAAAAACCGAACACATGTAGAGAAGGGACTTGATGAAGATGATCTAAACAGAAACGTTGAATAGGTGATTGCATAGTTAAAAATTTGCTGCTCGCTACAAAATGTATGAAATCGTATTTGACCCAAGCAGCATAAACACTGGTGAATTCTTTCCTACTAAGCTCTGTTGTGTGTCTGGTAATAACAATTGTTTGCCCTTCAAGGTTACAAACAAAACATATTGTTACTACTTACAAGTTTTATCTAATCTTGGAGCTTTTAAAGTGGAAATTTCAGATTAACGTTAAATAAATTACCACTGTAAAGCGAATTTTAGGCTAAAATGGGCCCTAAAATAGCCGATAAAAACGGGGAAAAATGGTAATATACGCGCTTTATGCAGAATTTTTAAAAATAGCGCAAAATACTAGTTGGTAAGCAATTTCTAACACTTTCACACTTTTGAACTTCAGTTTACGAAAACCCAAGACGAACTAATTGATACACAAAGAGAATTCCAAAAGAAAGTTGTAGGAGGGCAAGGTATATTTAAGAAATCAGAGCTCTTCCTAGAAAAACAACAATTCGAAAGAATACGAATACTAAATTATGTATCATATTTCAGCATCCTGAAGAATTCGAACTACTTCGAGAGAATCTAACAGAATCCGAAAGAATAACCAAAAAGTCCAAAAGAATATGACATAATCAGAATAAATTTGAAATCCGAAATTTTGGAAATAATGCGAAATAATACGAAAGAATACAAGAAAATCTGGGCAAATTCCTACAAGATACGAAAATATCGGGAAGAATCCATAAGAATCCAAGAGAATGTGAGAGAATCCGGAAAAATCTGAAATAATTCGCGAGAATAAGCAAACATTCGAGATCCGAAAGTTTCGGAAAGAATACGTGAAGAACCCCAAAAGAATACGAGAGAATATGAGAGATTCTAACGAAATTACGCGAGACGAGGAGAGACCCCGGAAGAATGTGAAAGAATCCATGTAAATACGAGAGAATCCGGCTACATTCCAAAAGAATGAGAGATAATCTGAAAGAATGCGAAAGAGTCCGAGAGAATCCGAAAAACTAAATTACTAAATTTTAGCATGTTGGAAAATTCAAAGATGATTCGAGAAAATCCAACCAAATCCAAAGAATACAAAATATCAGAGATCAGAGAGTATCCAAAAGAATACAAGCAAATTCAGTCAAATTCCCACAGGATGGGAAACAATCAGGAAGAATCCAAAAGAAATCGAAAGAATCCAACCGAATTTGGAAGAATACATAAGAATCCAAGTGAATATAAGATAATCCGGAAAAATCTGAAAGAATCCGCAAGAAAACGTGAAAATCCGACAGAATCAGAAAGAATACGACAGAATACACGAGAATCGAACCAAATTCCGAGAGGATCGGGAAGAATGCGGAATAATCAGAAAGAAACTCAGAGAATGCCAGAAAATCCGGAAGAATTTGAAAAAATTCGAGTGAATTCGGAAGAATCCGAAAATAATTCGAGAAAACCATACAAAATCCGAAATGATATGCAAGGAACCTAATAAAATGCAGCGAATTTGGAATAATGTGAGAAAATACGGGAGAATCCTGGAGAATTTGGGAGGATCCAAAAGAATCCAAGAGAATTTGAAAAAATCTGGGCAATTTCGAGAGAAGAGGAGAGAGTGCGAAAGAATTTGAAAGAATCCAAGTGAATACTAGAGAATCCGGCTAAATTCCAAGAGAATCGAAGATAATCCAGAAGAATGCGAAAGAGGATTAGGCAAATATAGAGAAAAATTGGAGAAAATACCGAAAAATTCAAAATAAATCGTCCATAATGAGGGAGAATACGAGAGAATCAAAAATTAATTACCATATTTCATCAGCATCTTGGCGAATTCAAAGATGATTCGAGAGAATCCAACAAAATCCAAAGAATAAGCAAAGATTCCGGAAGAATACAAGATAATCCGAAAAAAAATCGAGATCAGAGAGAGTATCCAAAAGAATACAAGAAAATCCTGTCAAATTCCTACAGGATACGAAAATATCGGGAAGAATCCATAAGAATGCAACAGAATGTGAGATAATCCTGAAAAATCTGAAAGAATTCGCGAGAATAAGCAAAAATTCGAGATCCGAAAATTTTGGAAAGAATACGTGAAGAATCCCAAAAGAATACGACAGAATATGAGAGAATCTAACGAAATTGCGCGAGACGAGGAGAGACCCCGGAAGAATGTGAAAGAATCCATGCAAATACGAGAGAATCCGGCTACAATCCAAGAGAATGGAAGATAATCTGGAAGAATACGAAAGAGTCCGAGAGAATCCGAAAAACTAAATTACTAAATTTTAGCATGTTGTCTAAGAATTAAAAGATGATTCGAAAGAATCCAACCAAATCCAAAGAATAAGCAAAGATTCCGAAAGAGTACAAAATATCAGAGATCAGAGAGGATCCAAAAGAATACAAGCAAATACAGTCAAATTCCGGGAAAGAATCAAGAAGCATCCAAAAGAAATCGAGAGAATCCGACCGAATTTGGAAGAATACATAAAAGAGAATCCGGAAAAATCTGAAAGAATACGAGAGAAAACGTGAAAATCCGGCAGAATTGAAAAGAATACGACAGAATATACGAGAATCGAACTAAATTCCGAGAGGATCGGGAAGAATGCGGAATAATCAGAAAGAAACTCAGAGAATTCCACAAAATCCGGAAGAATTTGAAAAAATCCGAGCAAACCCTACAAAATCTGAAATAATATGCAAGGAACCTAATAAAATGCAGAGAATTAGGAAGAATGTGAGAAAATACGGGAGAATCCGGGAGAATTTGGGAGAATCCAAAAGAATCCTAGAGAATTTGAGAAAATCTGGGCAATTTTCGAGAGACTCCGAAAGAATTTGAAAGAATCTAAGTGAATACAAGAGAATCCGGCAAAATTCCAAGAGAATCGGAGATAATCCGAAAGAATGCGAAAGAGAATTAGGCAAATATCGACAAAATTGGAGAGAATGCCGAAAAATTCGAAAGAAATCGTGCATAATGCGGAAGAATGCGAGAGAATCTAAAAAATAAATTACTATATTTCAGCATCTTGGCGAATTCAAACATGATTCGAGAGAATCCAACAAAATCCAAAGAATAAGCAAAGATTCCGGAAGAATACAAGATAATCCGAAAAAAATCGAGATCAGAGAGAGTATCCAAAAGAATACAAGAGAATCCTGTCAAATTCCTACAGGATACGAAAATATCGGGAAGAATCCATAAGAATCCAAGAGAATGTGAGAGAATCCGGAAAAATCTGAAAGAATTCGTGAGAATGAGCAAAAATTCGAGATCCGAAAGTTTCGGAAAGAATACGTGAAGAATCCCAAAAGAATACGAGAAAATATGAGAGAATCCAAAGAAATTGCGCGAGACGAAGAGAGACCCTGGAAGAATGTGAAAGAATCCATATAAATACGAGAGAATCCGGCTACATTCCAAGAGAATGGGAGATAATTTGGAAGAATGCGAAAGAGTCCGAGAGAATCCGAAAAACTAAATTACTAAATTTTAGCATGTTGGAGAATTCAAAGATGATTCAAGAGAATCCAACCAAATCCAAAGAATAAGCAAAAATTCCGAAAGAGTACAAAATATCAGAGATCAGAGAGTATCCAAAAGAATACAAGCAAATTCAGTCAAATTCCGACAGGATGGGAAACAATCAGGAAGAATCCAAAAGAAAGCGAGAGAATCCGACCGAATTTGGAAGAATACATAAGAATCCAAGCGAATATGAGAGAATCCGGAAAAATCTGAAAGAATACGAGAGAAAACGTGAAAATCCGGCAGAATCAGAAAGAATACAACAGAATACACGAGAATCGAACCAAATTCCGAGAGGAGCGGGAAGAATGCGGAATAATCAGAAAGAAACTCAGAGAATGCCAGAAAATCCGGAAGAATTTGAAAAAATTCGAGTGAATGCGAAAGAATCCGAAAATAATTCGAGAAAACCCTACAAAATCTGAAATAATATGCAAGAAACCTAATAAAACGCAGAGAATTTGGAAGAATGTGAGAAAATGCGGGAGAATCCGGGAGAATTTGGGAGAATCCAAAAGAATCCTAGAGAATTTGAGAAAATCTGGGCAATTTCGAGAGAAGAGGAGAGACTCCGAAAGAATTTGAAACAATCCAAGTGAATATTAGAGCATCCGGCTAAATTCCAAGAGAATCGAAGATAATCCGGAAGAATGCGAACGAGAATTAGGCAAATATGGAGAAAATTGGAGAAAATACCGAAAAATTCGAAAGAAATCGTGGATAATGCGGGAGAATGCGAGAGAATCTAAAAACTAAATTACTATATTTCAGCATGTTGGCGAGTTCAAAAATGATTCGAGAGAATCCAACAAAATCCAAAGAATAAGCAAAGATTCCGGAAGAATACAAGATAATCCGAAAAAAATCGAGATCAGAGAGAGTATCCAAAAGAATACAAGAGAATCCTGTCAAATTGCTACAGGATACGAAAGTATCGGGAAGAATTCATAAGAATCCAAGAGAATGTGAGAGAATCCGGAAAAATTTGAAAGAATACGAGAGAATATGAGAGAAAACAACCAAATTGCACGAGAAGAGGAGAAACCCCGGAAGAATCTGAAAGAATACATGTAAATATGAGAGAATCCGGCTACATTCCAAGAGAATGAGAGATAATCTGGAAGAATGCGAAAGAGTCCGAGAGAATCCGAAAAACTAAATTACTGTACTTTAGCATGTTGAAGAATTCAAAGATGATTCGAAAGAATCCAACCGAATCCAAAGAATAAGCAGAGATTCCGAAAGAATACAAAATAATCCGAAAAAAATTTAGATCAGAGAGTATCCAAAAGAATACAAGCAAATCCAGTCAAATTCCAGGAAAGAATCAGGAAGAATCCAAAAGAAATCGAGAGAATCCGACCGAATTTGGAAGAATACATAAGAATCCAAGCAAATATCAGAGATTCCGGAAAAATCTGAAAGAATCCGAAAGAAAACGTGAAAATCCGACAGAATCAGAAAGAATATGACAGAATATACGAGAATCGAAGCAAACTCCGAGAGGATCGGGAAGAATGCGGAATAATCAGAAAGAAACTCAGAGAATGTCAGAAAATCCGGAAGAATTTGAAAAACCCGAGTGAATCCGAAAGAATCCGAAAAAAATTCGAGAAAACCGTACAAAATCTGAAATAATATGGAAGAAACCTAGCAAAACGGAGAGAATTAGGAAGAATGTGAGAAAATACGGGAGAATCCTGGAGAATTTGGGAGAATCCAAAAGAATCCTAGAGAAGTTGAGAAAGTCTGGGCAATTTTCGAGAGAAGAGGAGAGACTCCGAAAGAATTTGAAAGAATCCAAGTGAATACTAGAGAATCCGACTAAATTCGAAGAGAATCGAAGATAATCCGGAAGAATGCGAAAGAGAATTAGGCAAATATCGAGAAAATTGGAGAAAATACCGAAAAATTCGAAAGAAATCGTGGATAATGCGGGAGAATGCGAGAGAATCTAAAAACTAAATTTCTAGATTTCAGCATCTTGGCGAATTCAAAGATGATTTGAGAGAATCCAACAAAATCCAAAGAATAAGCAAAGATTCCGGAAGAATACAAGATAATCCGAAAAAAATCGAGATCAGAGAGAGTATCCAAAAGAATACAAGAGAATCCTGTCAAATTGCTACAGGATACGAAAGTATCGGGAAGAGTTCATAAGAATCCAAGAGAATGTGAGAGAATCCGGAAAAATCTGAAAGAATACGAGAGAATATGAGAGAATCCAACCAAATTGCGCGAGAAGAGGAGAAACCCTGGAAGAATGTGAAAGAATACATGTAAATATGAGATAATCCGGCTACATTCCAAGAGAAAGGGAGAAAATCTGGAAGAATACGAAAGAGTTCGAGAGAATCCGAAAAACTAAATTACTGTACTTGAGCATGTTGAAGAATTCAAAGATGATTCGAAAGAATCCAACCTAATCCAAAGAATAAGCAGAGATTCCGAAAGAATACAAAATAATCCGAAAAAAATTGAGATCAGAGACTATGCAAAAAAATACAAGCAAATACAGTCAAATTCCAGGAAAGAATCAGGAAGAATCCAAAAGAAATCAAGAGAATCCGACCGAATTTGGAAGAATACATAAGAGTCCAAGCGAGTATGAGAGAATCCGGAAAAATCTGAAAGAATCCGGGAGAAAACGTGAAAATCCGGCAAAATCAGAAAGAAAACGACAGAATACACGAGAATGGAACCAAATCCAAGAGAGTAGCGGGAATAATGCGGAATAAGAAAGAAGCTCAGAGAATGCCAGAAAATCCGGAAGAATTTGAAAAAATCCGAGTGAATCCCAAAGAATCCGAAAACAATTCGAGAAAACCATACAAAATCTGAAATAATATGCAAGGAACCTAATAAAATGCAGAGAATTAGGAAGAATGTGAGAAAATACGGGAGAATCCAGGACAATATGAGAGAATCCAAAAGAATCCTAGACAATATGAGAAAATCTGGGCAACTTTCGAGAGAAGAGGAGAGACTCCGAAAGAATTTGAAAGAATCCCAGTGAATACTAGAGAATCCGACTAAATTCCAAGAGAATCGAAGATAATCCGGAAGAATGCGAAAGAGAATTAGGCAAATATCGAGAAAATTGGAGAAAATACCGAAAAATTCGAAAGAAATGGTGCATAATGCGGGACAATGCGAGAGAATCTAAAAACTAAATTACTATATTTCAGCATGTTGGCGAATTCAAAAATGATTCGAGAGAATCCAACAAAATCCAAAGAATAAGTAAAAATTCCGGAAGAATACAAGATAATCCGAAAAAAATTGAGATCAGAGAGAGTATCTAAAAGAATACAAGAGAATCCTGTCAAATTCCTACAAAATACGAAAGTATCGGGAAGATTCCATAAGAATTGAAGAGAATGTGAGAGAATCCGGAAAAATCTTAAAAAATTGGCGAGAATAAGCAAAAATTCGAGATCCGAACGTTTCGGAAAGAATACGTGAAGAATCCCAAAAGAATACGAGAGAATATGAGAGAATCTAACGAAATTGCGCGAGACGAGGAGAGACCCCCGAAGAATGTGAAAGAATCCATGTAAATACGAGAGAATCCGGATAGATTCCAAGAGAGTGGGAGATAATCTGGAAGAATGCGAAAGAGTCCGAGAGAATCCGATAGACTAAATTACTAAATTTTAGCATGTTGGAGAATTCAAAGATGATTCGAGAGAATCCAACCAAATCCAAAGAATAAGCAAAGATTCCGAAAGAATATAAAATATCAGCGATCAAAGAGTATCCAAAAGAATACAAGCAAATCCAGTCAAATTCCGACAGGATGGGAAACAATCAAGAAGAATCCAAAAGAAATCTAGAGAATCCGACCAAATTTGGAGGAATACATAAGAATCCAAGCGAATATGAGAGAATCGGAAAGAAAACGTGAAAATCCTCCAGAATTTGAAAGAATACGACAGAATACACGAGAATCGAACCAAATTCCGAGAGGATCGGGTAGAATGCGGAATAATCAGAAAGAAACTCAGAGAATGCCAGAAAATCCTGATGAATTTGAAAAAAACCGAGTGAATTCGAAAGAATCCGAAAATAATTCGAGAAAACCCTACAAAATCTGAAATAATATGCAAGAAACCTAATAAAACGCAGTGAATTAGGAAGAATGTGGGTAAGTACTGGAGAATCCGGGAGAATATGGGAGAATCCAAAAGAATCTTAGAAAATTTGAAAGCTTTTTTAAGAACAACTTCGATGACATAATTTGAAGCGTTATTTTGTCTTACTACTTCTTTATCTTTATTGGAAGGAAGTGGAAGTAAATATAAATAAGAAACTACTGACATACATAATATATTTTATTTTGGTTTGCCTCCCTAAGACACACTCATAACAAAAATAAATAATGATCTTAGATATTTTTGGAAAGAACACAATTGGGAAATGTAGACATAGGACCAGCATCTGCACTGAAGACACTATCTCTGTATAAGAGCAGATTAAGGTTCTACCATTTTTCGGGTTTTAATTAAATTTAAGATTTTTGTACGCTATGAGAAAAAAACTTTTTCTCTAAATAATCATGACACAATAACCCATTAATATCCAGATAATTCCGAGTTATTAGAACTAAAAAATGTAAATTTTTAAGGACTAATTTAAGAATCTATGTGTACATATTTTATGAGAGCTTCGCTTGTTTTCCTACATAACTTTTTTTGTAAAAGATAACAAATAAATGCAGTATCACAAACATATAAATCAAATGAGTCACCAAAATCCACTTCGGAAAAGAACAGAACGGGTTCACCAAATGTACAACATAATTCAAAAGTATAATCGAGTTGGCAACCTAAAACTCAAAAAATAAAATGGGCTAAAACACGCTAACACTTACCACTTGAAGCACTGTGATATACTTTTTCCACCACTGAAATTTCTCCTTAGTCCACGTACTTTGTAAATAATAAAAATACATGACTGTATGAACAATACAATTTATAAAAGCACTCAGACAGTTTGCACCTCCAGGACTATACTTGAAGCTTATCCAAGCCATTAAAAATACTCCAGTGTGGTGAAACACGTGCAGAAAAGAAACTTGCTTGTCCTTTTTGCGCAAAATAAAAATAATCTAAAAAGAAAATGTCGACTGTGCTTAAAATAAAACGTACCGTTTCCAGAAAATCGATCAGCTTGAGCAACACAAATTTATGGTGTAGTGTTATAATGATATAAAAATCCGGGGAAGTAATGGTACACAAGAAACTAATAGTGTTGAGATGTGGGAAACCCTAAAAGAAGTTTTTCAGTTTATCGTCTACCTGGAGAATTTCGGTACTAACCAAAATAATTATAAGAAGGTTGCTGGAAATCTGAAATACGTTATAGAGAATCATTACATAGTTCAGTTTCAGTGGTGCCCTATTTTTCATTAAACTTCGTCCTAGTTTTGTCACGACAATTAGATAAATGGCTACGAAAACAAGAGGTTGAAAAATTGACTGCGTAAGGAAATATTCTGCAACCCCTTTATCTGAAAGGTATGAGTAAAATTCGTATAAAATTGTGACATTAAATACCTGTCATGTCGTGGAGAAATAAAGCGCGTAACGCAAACGAAAAAGGTGAACTGTTTTCTCCTAAAGATTTATGTATGGACTTCGTCCAAGGCAAACTATTTTGCATAGATTAACCAAGTGACCTCTATCACTATGTGATTAAAAATACCGCTAAAAATTAGCAAACTAAATTACCAAAAACAACAAATTCCTTCTCTGTAACGAAGGATAACGCCAGCATCTGCAGAGAGAACACTATCTGTTTCTAGTGATTCATTGCTTTTCCAGTTGATTGTGCAACACAAAAAAATAAGTTTACTTCGAAAATATATTACTCTTCGTTTTTTTTTACATAATTTACAATATAAAATTTTGCAAATAAATATAACACAATAATCATGTAATGTGAATTTGTCAGTAAAATCCACTTAGGGTAACAACAATCTGGGTTCAGCAGAGGCAAAACAAAGGTCAATAGTATCAAACACTGCGAGGTCTGAAATCACACTTCATTACATATTGTCCAACCATACATACAAATTTATTACGATTTGAATAACAGTGACGTAGTTTTTCCACCAGATCTTTCTTCCATCGAGCCACAAACTTATCATGTAATAACTATACATGATTATGTGCACAGAACAATTTATTAAAGCGCCGAGAAACCCTTGACCTCCAGGAGAAAATTTACAACATATCCAACCAATGAGGAAAACCCCAACGTGGTGAAACACGTGCAAAAAAGAAACTTGATTGTCTTTTTTGCGGAGGACGAAGATGATCTAGAAGGAAAACTGAAACACAACGACACAACAACAAAAATTTTACCGTTTCCCCAAAATGGAATAACTTGAGAAGTAGATATAGATAGTTCCCTATGACGATAAAAGGCAGTTCTACTAAGTTTGACGTATCTGTGTAGGTACACATAATGTCAAAAGTTTTTGTAGTTGGTAAAGCCTGAAAGTATTTGTGTAAATAGGAAAGCAAACTTTCGTACTAACCATTATGACAAGAGCAGCGTTGGAAGCAATCTGAATTAGGTTATATATTATTATAACAACCCTTAAATTTAAGGGTTGCCGGTTTTTCATGAAGTTTGGTCCAATTTTCAAGACAATACCCAGATATGCAACCACAAGAAAGAGAGGTTGAATGGGTGATTGCATCAGGAAAAAGTGTTGTAGTGGAGTACCTGGAAAACTTGCTGAAGTACTTTTGGAGAAAACAATATAGTTTTCGTACCTGCCATTTCAGACAAACTGTATTACAATTCTGCTTGCTACAAAATGTGTAAAATCGTACTTAAGTTATAGTAAACAAACACTGCTGAATTTTCTATTACGGAATCGTAGTGGTAGTAGCTACAGCGTTTTGCTCTTAAACTTGATAAATCAAACAAGTTGCGTCGTTACTTACACGTTCTGCGTAATCGAGGAATTTTTAAAATACTATTACAACTAACACTAAGTGCAACTCCTATGATATCCTTTGAAGCGTTACCAATATTGTTTTTGGGATAACACTTTTCCTGTATAATTCTTATTATGTTTGTGATTTGTGATCAAAATAAAATGAAAGAATTGCAGTTTCTATTTCTATTTAATTTAATTCTATTTTCTATTTAACACAGCTACTAAATTTTTCCCTGGTGCTTACTTCTTTTTTTGCTTACATAGCTAACGTTGTAAAAAGTAAAAAATAAATATAATATGGTTGCTAACACAGCGACATTAACAACCAAAACCCACTTTGGATAAGAACAATACGGATTCAATAGAGCCACGGAAAACAACAAAGTAATCAAACATTGGGAAACCTAAAAAACCCATAAAACACACACTGTTGCAGCAAAAATTTCAACTCACGATTTGTAACATCGTCATGTAGTGTTTCCACCAAATCGCTTTAACGTCGATCCATAAAGTCACCAAATAATAAGAATACATAAATATATGAACGAAAGAATTTATAACGGAACACAGGTAAGGATGACCTCCTGGAGAGTACTTGAAACAAATCCAACTCAACCAAAACACTCCAGAATGGTGAAATAAGTGCAAAAAAGTGACTTGGTTGTTTTTTTTACGCAAGACAAAAATAATCTGGAAGAAATAGTTGAAAACGGGATATAACCTATTTCGAGCTTACCGTCTCCACGAAGTCCAAAATTTTTATCATGAGGTAGTGATAGTGTCCTGTTACGGCGTACGGAAGGTCTGGGGAACCTGAAATGTCTGTGTATGCGCACAAAATATTGGAAGCTGTATAGATATGCAGACCCTAGAAATAACACTTTTTTTTTTTTTTTTTGATAACATTATACTGACCATCAAGACATAATAAGTGTTAATGACAATCTGACTCGAATTGTAAAGTACCATTACAGCTTTCAGCTCGAAGGGCGATTTTTTTCTCATAAAAAACGGCACGATTTTGAGTACTAAAGCAAGATAAGCTATCGTAACAAGGGCTGGTTGGATGGGTGATTCCATCAAGTAATAGCTCTCGATTCTAAAATCTGAAATATATTTGTAACATAACTGAAAATATTTCTAGGGCAAACCTTTCATTTCAGAGGAAGCAATTGACGATGCGTGGTGTCTATCTACACAGTAAAACACACCTTTAAAGTTAAGTTACAGAAATGTCGATAAGTTGGGTTACGTATTACGACACCTCATTAACATGGATTCATACATTTTTAACTACACTCTATTTAGTTTGCAGCCTTGGCTTTATATTTTTATGTTTCGATAACAAAGTTTTTCATTTTTTGTGTGTTTTTCTAGAGGTGACACATAAAATAAAACGAAGTCCAACTTTCTTTTGTAATTTCCTCCAAAATCGCTTTCATTTTGTGTTATATTAAAAATATCAGCGACCTCCTCATTCATCTCAACAATTATTTATTTGATGTCTCGTCTAATAAAATCCCCTTCGTTTTCGGCAGCCTTAGCGTTTCTTTGAAACAAGTAAAATATGACGCGGAGCTTAAAGGAAAAGAAAGGAAAAATTAAAAAGCTCTCGTAATGGAGAAAGTCTCCAGAAAAAGCATTTATTTTCATTAAGGGTGGGCGCATAAATCTAAATAGGAGGTAGTTAAAGCCCATTTTGCCACTTAGTCCACTAGATAATTCCTCATTGTGTACATTAGCGGCGGGTCGGGCCGGATTTGCGAGGGGTTGTTCCGGGATGCGTTGTGATAAATGGGGGCGAAATAAGAATATAAAACTTTCAACTGGAAAACACTACTTTCTGCGCTCGGGAGGGAGAAGTTGACCTTCAACTAGCCAGTCAGAGCCGAGGTTGCTCTAAATGTTAGCTGAATGCACAAAGAACGTTTTTAACAATACTTTATTTAGCTCGGGTTTTACAATAGGTAACAAATATGTAGTACATCTTACAACAATATAATGATGGATCGAACACCCAGTAACTACAGATGGTAGATTTGATTTAGGTAGCGTCGACTACTCCGTCGACTTCCAAACAAAGAAGAATAACACTTTGCCTCCGAGAGTCCGTGGCGTCACCACGTTCTTACTTAATACATTTATATTTTCCTATACTTTATCTATTATGGTACACTGATTAAGTTTTATTTACACTTTTCACAGTTTATCACAATGTCATACCCTTTCGAAAAATAACGCAGTTAGCACTAATATACAGGATTTTACTTAAAACCGCTCATTTTCACGTAGGTATAAAATGTTTTAATCTATTCATTACAATCCTATTCGTTATTTACATCATCAGTATTTACATGCTATTTTGATTGTATTTACTGTCGCGGACACTTTTTTTAGCTTCATTGTTACCGTAAACCCACGAGGAGTAACGCCACAAGTAGAAGGGTCCTTCGTCCTCGCTGCACCTGGCCGCCATCTGCAACAAAAATCCGAATTATTGATCGGCAAACGTTTGAATTTATGGCCAAAGATTACTACCTCCAGGTCGGGTACTAAATTCGAGCGATTCTCTGGTGGAAACCCCACTGACCGAAATGGGATATGCCCGAAACTTTTTCAACTAATTGGTATTTCCCAGATGCACAAAGTGCCATAACTTCTGCATGAAAAAGGACACAATATGTCTTAAATATACATTCGTAATAAAATTCTGGACACAAATACGACGAAAGTGTTTATTAAAATAAAAATGTGGATGAGTGGTAGTAGTCCGAAAGCATTGTTTCATAAATGTGACAGGAATATTGATCAAATTTGAGCGGAAACTTTTAGTTTGCTGTTTGTTGGGGTACGAGTTCAGGATAAAAATAAAAATACGCTAGCTGCGAATGAACATCTGCTCATTCAACGCTCTAGCGTGTTTTTGATTCTATAACATAAATGATTTTTTCGCCCATTATTTAACAAGTTTCATAATCGTGATTATATGGTCATAAAAAACGATAAGTTTGTTTTTACGTAACGAGTGTGAATAAATAAGCGTCGATTTGCATCATAGCTCTTTGAACATGAAAAAGTAGGTCCGCCGTTTCCTGCCTGTTGCTTGTTGGCGAATTTAATGGCCAAATAAACTCGGCACTTCACCCGATTGTTACGAAATTTTAAATTATGCGCTAACCTAAATTTGAGTGTTCAGCCCACCACAATTTCTTGCTATGTAAAGATATCCTAAGATACTAAAAACATTATTACCTCACGACATTCTTTCCCATTTCGGATTTCTGCATATTTTTCTGGTGGCCAAACTAGATATAATTTGCTAATTTCGCCCAATTTATTAACGAACTTCGCGAAATTTTATACAATACTTCCTTTACACTCAGAGCGGTGACCTGATGCTTGTCACGTCATGGTGGGTCAGGTCACGCTCGGTCAGGTCAGATTTATATGGTTATTTTTATTAAAAATTAAAAAAATGTAATTACTGCACTTGAGAAGCTAAATTATTAAAAAAATTGGTCGAAAGTTATTTTGACAGAACCTCCCTCGGGAAAAATGTAGATATTCTCATTTTCTCAGTACATGCTTAACCTCGATTGTTTATGTTTATATGTCAAAATAATTCAGCTATTAGCTAGGAAGAAAGAAAGAAGAATCAATCCAGAGGAGAGGACTAATTAATTAATTAATTAAGCACACTTTCTCAAAAACTGAATCTCTAGTGTAAACGCTAAGAAATTTGAAGAGCACATTCGGTAAAATTGGAAAATGACGTCATCATTTTTTGGGGGTGGCATAAACGGATACATTTTGATTAACGATTTATCCTGATTCCAATGATTTTGCCAGATTCTACAGCACTTGATTTTGCAATTTCAAAGTTAAATGGTAAAACATTGTTATATAATTTTGAATTTTTCCTAAAAATCTGCATACTTACCGTAAAAACTCAACACGGATTGATAAACCAAAAGTGCAAGACTATCTTATTTTATATAATTTAAATAATTTGCTAATGTCTATGGTCTTGGAAAGGATAATTCGGCAAATTTAGGTAGCGTTTTACCTTATAAATAATATTCCTAAAATACATATAAAATTTGACAACAATCGGGCGAGTAGTTTCGGCGATATATCTAAATTATTAAATGCGACAGACAGACAGATGAAAATGAGAAACGTCAGGAAAACATGAAAGTATCCAGTCGTCCGAAGTACTCGATCACAAAATCACGTTAGATTACACTTGGGAAGTAAACATTTTTATTTTCAAAATGTAAGTTTGAGATTGTGACCACTAAGAAAACAGTGGGCGGGTAGGCGGGGCCAATACTTGCCAAGACAAGATTGATTTTGGCAAATAATATAATATCTAAGAAAATAGAGGGTGGGTGGGCGGGGCTGGTATTTGCTAAGGCAAGACTGAATTTGGCAAATTATATAATCGCTAAGAAAATATAGGGCGGGTGGGCGGGGTTAATACTTGCTAGGACGAGATCGATTTTGTCAAATGACTTACCGTCTTAAAAAATCCAGTTAAATCCAAAAAAACTCAGAGTATCTAAACAATTCTAAATAAACAAAACATTTTTTTATTTATCCGATTTTTCAACTTTTCTATTGATTTTTTCTTCTTCTTTCTCGTTTTTCGATTTTCCTATTTTTTTCTGATTTTTTAGTTTTTCGGTTTTTTCAACTTTACGAATCAATAAAATAGAAAAATAACAAACTAGTAATTTTGAAAAATCAAAAATGAAGAAACGAAAATGTATAAAATGGAAACTTTAAAAAATCTGTCTCTACAGATAATTTTCCCACTACAAAGTATCCCAAAAATCAAAAGATACAAATATCAGAAAATAAAAAAATAAAAAAATTATAATTATCCAAAAAATTGAATACATCCAAAAACAACGAAAAATTAAAAATTATCCAGAAAATCCAGAAAATTCCAAAAAATTCAAGAGATCCAAAAAATCGAACAAACTCGAAAAATCCAAATAAATACAAAAAAATCTAAACAAATTCAAAAAATTGAATAAACCTAAAAAACTTAGAAAATCGACAAAAGTCCAACAAATTTATGAAATTAAAAAAAATCTATTAAAAACCAGAAAATCCCAAAAAATCATTTTCAGTTATTGACTTTTAAAACTTTTTCATTTTTGCGATTTTTAATTTTTCAATTTTAATTTAATCGAAATATTGAAATCATAAAACGAGAAATTTAAAAACTAAAAATCAAAAAATTCAAAAATCAAGGCATCGAGAAATCAGCGATTGAAAATTTGAAAAACTGAAATATTAAAAATCGAAAAATTGCAAAATTTAAAGATCGGAGCATTCAAAAATTTTAACATTTAATCGAAAAATTGAAACATTTAAAATCGAGAAATTTAAAAAATAAAAATAAAAAAATTAAAAATTCGGATGATTGAGAAATTCAAAAATTAAAAACTAAAAAATCTAAAACCTGAAAAATTGAAAATCGCAAGTTCGTAAAATTGAAAACTTAAAAATTCAACGCTTTAAAAGTTGAAATATGAAAAATTACAAAATAGTAAAACTGAAAAATCGAAAAATTAAAAAAATTAAAATCGAAGACTGAAAATTTGGAAAACTGAAAACTCGAAATATTGAAAACTCGAAAACTTGAACATTAAAGATTCAGGAATTTAAAAATTAAAAATCAAAAAATTGAAAATTCGGATGACAAAAATTCAAAAATTAAAAACAAAAAAAATCTAATAAAAGTTGAAAATTTAAAAATTCAAGGCTTTAAAAGTTGAAATATGAAAACTTGCAAATTAGTAAGGCTGAAATATCAAAAAATTTGAAAAGTGGAAAATCGGAGAACTGAAAAATCAGATTGAAAATTTGAGAAATTAAAAAATCGAAAAATGAAAAATCAAATAATCGCAATATTGAAAAAATTAAAGTTGAAAAAATGAAAAATTTTTAAATCGAAACATTGAAAAATTGAAAACATCAAAAAACGAAAAATAGAAAAGTTGAAAAATCAAAAATCGCAAAATTGTAAAAGTGAAACTTCAAAAAACCGAAAAATCGATGAATTGAAAAATCAAAATTGAAAACTCGAAAAATTGAAATAATAAAAATTGAAAAACTGGAAAATTTAAAGATTCTAAAATTCAAAAATTGCAACATTTAATCGAGAAATTTAAAAAGTGAAAATCAAAAATTTGAGAACTCGGATCATTGAGTAGGAATCCAAAAACTAAACACTAAAAAATACAGAAGTTGAAAATTTGAAAAATCGCAAATTTGTAAAATTGAAAACTTAAAAATTCAAGGCTTTAAAAGTTGAAATATGAAATATTAAAATTTTGAAAAATTGAAAATTTGGAAAATAAAAAATCGATTGGTAAAACTCGAAAAATAGAAGAATTGAAAAATCGGAAATGTCGAAAAATTGAAAAATGGTGAAACTCAAAAACTGATAAGTCCAAATATCGATAATCGAAAAACATAAAAATTGGTAAATCGAAAAACTGAAATATAAAAATTCGAATCGAAGAAATGGAATAACTGATGAGCAGAAAAAACGAGAAATCGGAAAAATTGAAAATTGAAAAATAGAAAAACCGAAAAACTGAAAAATGGTAAAACTCAAAAATTGACACGTCGAAAAAACGGAAACTTAAAATTCCAAAAATTGATAAATTAAAAAACTGAAACATTAATATGAATCGAATGAAACATTGAAAACAACAAGGAAATAAAAATACAACAATTGTGATATAAATCGAGAAAATGAAAATTAAATAATCGGGAAAAAGAACAATAAATATCAAGAAATTGAAAAATTGAGGAAACGAAAATCAGCAAAATCGAAATGTCTTGAAAATAGAATTGAAAAAATTAAAAAAATATTAAAATTGTAACATAAAAAAAATTAAAAAATGATAAGTCTAAAAAATCGATAGTTAAAAAAACGGAGGGACGAAAAATGAAAAAAAATTCTAAATTTTGAAAAATTGAAAACTCGACAAATTGCGAAATGTAATGATCGTAAAATTAAAAAATTGTAACATTTAAGAATTGAAAAATTGAAACATTAAAAATCGAGGAATTTAAAAAGTAAAAATCTAAAAATTGAAAATTCGAAAATCGAGAAATTGAATTATCAAAAAAATTAAGAAAATAAAAACGCAAAAAATTCTGAAATAAAATCGTGAAAATAAAAATTAAAAAATCGAAAAAATGAAAAATAAAAATCAATAACTTGAAAATTGAGGAAATGAAAAACGAAATATTTGAAAAAATTTTGAGATGACGTCAACAATTTTTTGAGAGGGAATAAACGAATAAATTTACTTTATCTCTTGTATATTTTTGTAACAGTATACACTGGACCTTCCCCTTAAGAGAGGGTGGGTCAAGACTCATTTTGGCAAATGATATAATTGCTAAGAAAACGGAGGGGCGGGTTAGCGGGGCCAATACTTGCCAAGA